TTAGCCTTATCCTTTGTATAAGGTAACCTCCAATAACCAACGATCGGTTCCTATAGGGCGTGGGAGACCACAAAAGGATTTTGGAGAATGATCGTTTAAAACAAAAAAAAAAAGTCGAACATCTTGCGAAGACTTACAACGTGGATGAGGTTGCTTTTGCTGCATCGCAAGCTTCAGCTGCAACGATCACGATTACAAAGAAATATTTAACGCCAATGGAAGCGTTGGCCTTGTACAGTGACCTTGATTTGTCGGAAAGGAAGTATAATATTCTAAAAAATGTTGTTGACGACATTCACGATAAATGCTTTCCTTCCTTATACAGAATCAAAAAAGCAAGGAACAATTTATGTCTCAGAATATAAAAATTTCTGAAATAGGTGCTTCATTCGACATTAATAAAACTGCAAGACCTTTTAAATAAGACTGTTGATAGCATTTCTAATTTGATCCAAATAAGTGAACATGTAAAAGCTAAATTGGTTTGTAAATGGAGATTTTATGGCAGTGGCGGACAGAGCGTTTACAAAGAAAAATTTAGCAGCGTACAAAATATAGACCAATATATCTTTTTAAGTGCTTTTGTTCCGATAAAATCTAAAGACGCAGTAGCGTCTCGACCCCAAGTACGTGAAAAATTATCCGCCACCCTGTATACTGTACTGGCGCTGACGCTACTACGTATCTTTACTCGTAAACCGGCGATTCCAACCTAACCTGAAACTTCTTTCATTAATATCTCATCACGCCTGCAATATTTTCTAAATTTAAAGACATTTTTCTTATGCAAATCGCATATAAGCTTTCTAATAAAACCAAAATCAATAAAATCAGTCCACGTACAACTGAGATATCGTAATATCATGTCATGAATCTGCCAGAAACGATATTTCTCGTATGATTTTCCCGTCGTCAACCCTTAGCCAATAGAAGCTAAGCAAAAGCCGAGTGTCGTTCGTCGACTCTCGGAATCATTCGATCCGGCATAACTCGTCGGCCATCGAGCGTCGAGATTTGAAACAGATGTCATCATTCATGCCTGCCAAGTGTCAAAATATTTTACACTATTGCATTATTAAATATATTTATGAAGGAAGGTTTTGATTTTCTTTTGTCGAGGCAAGCGGCGTGCGCGCGTCTGCGATTTTTTTTGGCGAGTAGTCGGACAGAACAGGCGTACATGGCATGTGTCTTCAGCTTTCTTTTATACTTTTTTCAATTTCATATTTTTAATTGTATTATATTAACCAATTTCTCATGTGTCTAATTTATTCGCCACCCTCGATCATCTCAAATCCTACATTTATATCAGCAAAATGTTTTCAATTTAGACTTTTTATGTAGGGTTTAATAACAAATTGCACCCAGTGTTGTAAAGTGTTGATCAATCTTGATTACAAGGTAAGTTGTCAAAATCTGAATTGCCAGATACCTTTATTCATACAGAAAACTGTTTTTAATATAGATTCATACCACCAAAGTGTTTTGAATTTAGACTTTTTATGCAGAGCTTATAGAAACCAAGAGAACCACAGGCTTGGAGGTTGTTCGTTAACAAATTGCAGCAACTGTCGTAAAATGTTTATCCATTTTCAATACAAGGTAAGTTGTCAAAATCTGAATTGTCAGGCCCCTTTATTAACCGACTTCGAAAAGTAAGAGGTTACTCAATTCGACATGTATATATATATATATTTTTTTTTTCCATACAGAATACATCCATACCATGAAAGTGTTTTTAATTTAGACTTTTTATGTAGAGGTTATAGAAATGGAGTCATTTTCTCATTTCATCATTAACATTAAAATTTCTTGCAGCAAAAAAAAATATTGCAGGTATATATAATTATTTATAAATTAAACGAATAAATGTTTATAATTAATAAATTATATGAAATACATATATTAGCTTTTGTTATCCCCTCTCTCTTTATTTTACTCTATTCAATTAAAAAAAAAAATAATAATTTAGACTTCTTATGTAGAGTTTACAAAAATATCAATTTTATTTTTATAAATTTAAAATAGATTCTATATAATAAATGATTTGTAAAAAGAAGTTCGATCCAATAACAAACTTCAAAAAAGTAAAAAAATTACGCCAGTACATGAAAAAGTGGAGGACGAGAAGCAGTAATCTCAAAAAAGTAGAATACCTCCATAAAAAACTACAAAAAAGTAGAAAAATATGTGAAATCCAGTACAGTGCAATGGCGACACTGTGTAACACAATGTAAAATTCGATGCTTTCCAACTATGCGCAGCCAAAATTCTGTGTCCAGCAGTGCTGACGTTCAGACCCTAATGAAAACTCATGCAAAGTGACTGGTCCGCACTTTGGCGGTAAAATGAAAAAGCTAAATAGCGTATCAACCATAAACTGAGACTGTTTAGAGATTTTCCTAGATGTCCGCGGTTTCGAAGTCAAATGCTTGGCGTGGCCAGGCATTGTGAAGGTTTTGATGAATGAGAATGATTTTGAAACGTTAAATAATGAAAGTGTACTCATATTGTCAGAGTTTTAAACTGACAAATTATCTGAAAGCTTGTGAGAGGAAAGGTATCTGCGTCAATGAATGTCCTTAGAAATATTTTAAAACACAATAAAATGAAAATGTACTCATATTGTCAAAGTTTTAAATTGACAAATTATGTGAAAGTCTGCGAGAGAAAAAGTATGGGTATTGATGATCTGAGAATGCTTTAAAATGCAGTAAAAATTCATTGCTTTTTGAAGATCTATCGATACACCTTTGTCCAAAACAGATCCAACGCTGTGACCTTTAACCTCGATTTTTTCGAAAACGAAGCCTATCGAAAAAAACCCGGAACAAGGAACAAATATTTTTCGATAAGAAAGGTCTGTATGAAAGCGCATCAAAATCAGTGACCCACACTTCGTGGCCTCCCCTTGTTGGATTAAAAAAAATTTGTCCATACATTTGTTTAAATTAACGCTTCTATTATGTTCATAAAGACACAGGTGACAGAAGTGAGAGAATTTTACACGATCCAAATAAAATTTGGTCACTTTGTTCACTTTTATCACAAATGGTATATTGTTTAAAGATTAACATTTCTTGGTGGGGTTTAAGAAAATGGTGTACTTTCCGATCGAGCTGATTTTTTTATCGTAAATATCCCTTGACTTGGCGATTACAACGTTACCCCCCCCCCCCCCCTCGAGGGGTCATAAACTGAAATGGTTTAAAAAGTGCTTTTTTGTAACCGTCTTTGTGAGTACGTCATTTCCATCTGTTTTCTTTACATGAAGGAACATCATAGCACCAGGCCCGAAATCGGCTGTCTGAATTCGTTTGGAGTAGTTTTTGGTAGGAGCAGCAATATTGATACCGTTAATGTTGATATTGTCTACACAGACCTACTGTCCGAGTAGGAATGGGATAGTTTTTGGTGAGGACGGCGATATGCACGGAGGTTAAGGGGCTTGGAACATCAAAAAATGAAAAAAATCACTTTTTTTTTTTAAATTTAAGCGATTCTGAACAATTTTACGCAAAGAAAATTGAATTTGGAGCACTAGAAGTGGTAAAAAAAAGTTCGACGACACGAACTTAGTAAAAAGAACGCAATAAAACTGTAAAAAATATAAGGAAATACAACTGACAACTTTCTCGAAGAGAAAACAACGACAGCCAATTTTGCGGAAGAACGGGACGCGGTTACAATGGTCACAGCCATAGGGTACTGTTTTCTAGGGTAAAGAAGACAGAACATTTCCGAAAAAGCAGTGTTTTAATCGATTTTTATAAAATTAAATACGATTTGATAACATATCTATCGATAATCCGAACGGGAAATAAAAATTTTTAATTTTTTTGCGTCTCTTGAAGACCTAGGTTTTTGATACAAAGGTACACTTTTCTCAGAAACGGTTACGCTGATATTAACCAAATTTTTTACATGTGTTTTCTGATAGTTGGGCCTAATTTACACCGAGGATTTTTTTGAAATCCCAAATGGTTGATTGTTTAAAAATGTGTAAAGTTGGAAAAAAATGTATAGATTTGCACGACAATAACTTTTTTTGGAATCAAAATATTGGAAACATCCTCGGTGTAAATTATGCCGAACTATCAAAAAATACGTGTAAAAAATTTGGATCATATCGGCCTAACCGTTTCTGAGACAAGTGTATCTTTGTATCAAAAACCTAGGTCTTCAGGAGACGCAAAAAACTAAAAATTTCTATTTCCCGTTGGGATTATCGATAGATATGTTATCAAATCGTATTTGATTTTATAAAAATCGATTAAAACACTGCTTTTTCGGAAATGTACTGTCCTCTTTAACCTAGAAAACAGTACCCTATGGCTGTGACCAAGGTAACCCCGCGTCTCCGTTCTTCCGCAAATTTGTCTGTCGTTGTTTTCTCTTCGAGAAAGTTGTCAATTGTATTTCCTTATATTTTTTATAGGTTTATTGCGTTCTTTTTACTAAGTTCGTGTCGTCGAACTTTTTTTTACCACTTCTAGTGCTCCAAATTCAATTTTCTTTGTGTAGAATTGTTCGGAATCGCTTAAATTTTAATAAAAAAAAATTTTTTTTTAAAGTGATTTTCTTTCACTTTTGATGTTTCAAGCCTCTTAAGCGTCAAGAGCGAGTTAAAGGTCAAGATGACCTTCATTCTAATCACCAGGTCAAGGTCTACCTATGATATAATATCAGCTCAATCGGAGAGTACCCTATATTCTTAAACTCAATCCATTTCTCAGATATTTATTTTGACCAATGTTATGCCAATGATTTTAAAGTTTAGAGCTTCAGATATAATGACCTCAGCACTATAAACATATGTTGTTACATTATAAATATTAAAAAGTAGAAAAAGCGATAAGTATGTTCTCCATAAAATTAGATATCAAAAATTATACGGGTCTAAAGACAAGATTCGATCATATAGACATTAACACAATAGAAGAGTTAAATTAAATATTAGTTGTTTATATACTAATTCAATAATAAAATGATAGGTTTACCTGTAGATTATGGTATGCTCCACTGTTCTCTGGTGGAGTTGGTTTGCATTTACCACAGCAGAAGTTGCAACAAATACAGCAACAACAGCAACAATAACATGCAGTTATCAGACCACAGAATAGAATGAGTGCCTATAAAAAATTCTATTATTAACAAATGTAACATCATTAAATACTTATTCTATTTCATTCCTTCCTTTATACAATAAAATAATTCCAATAGGAACTAGGTTTCTAAATTTGACACATTCACTGAAGGAGAGTTGATGTAGGATAAGTAAATATCATACTGCAATAAATATATTAATTGACATAGGTTTAATTCAGATTTTGTAGTAAATCTAAAATAAAAATGAACATTTTAAATGCCGCATATTCAAGTATTTATAAGCTAATTATTTTCAAGTAACTTTGAAATTTTTTTTTGTAAAAAAAAAGGGAATATTTTTCTTTCAAATAAAAGGAATGAAATTGAAAATTAAAAAATGGAAATTTGTTTATATAAAAATATAGAAATGAATGAAACATTACCCTGCCCCAACCGGAGGTAACAACAAAGTAGGCATTAACATTTTCTTCGCCAAATTGCTCAGCAACATACAATCCAAGAGATCCATAATTATCATATATATTACGTTTTGTCAAATCTGTTAATATAGTATGTGCTCTATTTATTTCCTTAAACTGAAACATAATACCATTGAATTAGATTATACACATGAAACATTGTTAAAATGGGTTTATTATCTACATTTATTTATCTGTATCATTGGGTTTGCTGAAATTGATTGCAATCAGTTAAATTCCATCAAAATAATATTAACAAATAAAATTCATGTGAATAATATATAGTGTGATTTGTCGTTAGTTGTCCTCAAAAGCGTGCCATTTATCGCGCCTTTAATACTGTGTTTGTACATATGATAATGTTTCTACCCAAACATAAGTTTACAGTTTGCATATTAGAGTATGCCATAAATATATTTGTGGATTTATTGTATGTGATCTTAACTGGATAGGTAAAAAAATTTTCGGTAAGAAAATTATGTATGGAAGCTTATATGTACTTAGTTAGCCTCCTCTTGCAATAGAATGTTGAAAGTGGTATTCTCTGACATCTAAGTAATTTTCCATGTATTCATTAAATTTTCAAACGCTAGAACTAATATTTTATCCTTAATATTGTGTATTTCCTATCTTTTCAAGATATCCTGATGAGTATTGTTACCATTATTTTGAAAATACAAATTTTGGTGTAGTTATCACTTTATTGTAAGGGTTAATTTACCTAAAGTAAGTACCAAAATTTCCCTTCTCAAGTTCAAAATGTTGATTTTTTTCTTGTGGGACCATGCATTTAAAAAATATATTTTAAGAAATGCATGAAAGAATTCTTAGATTTCAAAAGGCATCATTTTCAACATGCGATGGAAGAAGATGAGTACATACGAATTCTCTTATATATACAATTTTCTTGCTGAAAATCGAAATATTGCATGGAGATTAATTCTTCTTAGCTTTCAGTTAAGTTCATATATGCGCACAGAATATGCTGCTGCAAAACTTGGTGTTGAAACGATAAGCTGTTATGATTAAAAAATTATCAACATATAATACAAATATGAGATATTCAATTTGTATTTTCCATGTTGATAGAACAAGTTATTTAGTAGATAGACTGTGTAAAATTAAAACTCTACAATTATAAAAATTCGTACGAAAGTTAATTCAATGACATTTCATTCAGAATGTAAACACATAATATAAATTATTTGAATATAATTTTATTTTAATAGGAAAGCAATTTTAGAGTTATTTATAAGTATAATAAATTTGTTGTGTCAAATGTAATTAATAAAAATAATATCATAGACAATCTTTTGAATAGAACTATTTTTGGAATGAGACCTAAAAATTCTTACGGACAAAAATCACTGTAAAATAGATAGTGGAAAAGTAACAGGGGACAACAGACATGAATTTTGTATCACACATTTCTAAATTGTTAAAAGGCTACTTTGTTAAAAATAAGACTGCAAAAGAAGACGTATCTTATACATAAGTATTCTTGATCTAATTTTTCTCTTAATACATTCAAAAGTAAAACTCACTGTTTGTCATCCAGTTTTGTAATCAAATTACTTTCTTTCTGTGATATAAAGGAATAACTATAGTACAATTGCAGTAATCTGGCTATTTGCCAATCTGTCATATTCAATAACCTGACTCTGTAGGTGGTTCCATATTTCCACTTCTCAATATAAAAAACACAGATTAACTAATACATTAAAGAGAACAGAGACAAAACTGAGTATTTTATGAAGAATTCTGGTGTTGATAACCAATTGTTTTGTTAAAAAGATGAATATTTTCATTTTAAACAATGCCTTTTCTCATTAAATTACTAAGTTTACTTTTAATTCACTTTTATTGAGACTAATACTACGCAAATATAGAAGCTATTAATGTTTTCAATTGCATAATACATTTAATTACTGTTATTTCTAGCTATCTTTTTAATACAACAATATTCTGCTCCAATATGTGTCAGATACCCAAGATTGTACTATACATTGAATTTAAAGTTTCACAGTATCCTATAGCAGGAAAAATGAATTAATTCTAGATATTTCAAAGGATGAGCGCTAGATATTTGAAGAATTTTTAGAGGTGAATATAAAGTGTAATTAAAGTATTAAATTTACCTTTTCTGCAGCTTCTGGATTATTTGGATTTTTGTCAGGATGATATTTTAATGCTAATTTCCTATAAGTCCTTTTAATTTCCTCTGAAGTAGCAGTTTTTGGTATCTGTAAAATCTGATACAGGGAGTCCCCTGCAGTTCTGAAATGAATAAAATATCAATGATTATTAATCATTATTTCATTGTAACTTTGTTTAATTTCATTACTTCATTGCATATTAATATTAAATTTGAAAAAATAAATTTATGTTTGATTTGTAAAAGCAATTTATTCAGAAAAGATGGCTACAGTAATATAAGTCTTAATTTACACTTAATTTATACTTTCCAACATTAAATAGAAAAGATATTTATTATAGTATATATATTTTTTAAAATAATACAGTTAACAGACAAAAACAAGGATACTAATATGAATTTTACACAACATTCATAACGTACAATTCATTCACTTTAATCATTGGACAACAGATAGAAACAAAAAACTAATGCTTTAAGTGAGTTGGTGACAATCTTGCAACATCCTCTATAATTAAAAATTTTCACAAAGCTTTTACCTACACTATAATTCGTAAGTTTATACAAAATATTTGGAATGTTTCAGAGTAACGGTCAGTTTCTTAAAAATAAAATATAATAAATAAACATGGAATGTGTTAATCATATTTCTTAAAAACTAATAGACTTATGCCAATAATTTACAAACTTGTGCTAAATCAATTCGTGCTATTTAACAAACTAATCTAATATCTAAAAAAATACTTCTAAAACATGTTTTACTAATTGTTAAACATAAGAATTGTTACATTTTCTAAAAGTAAATCACAAGATCGTAAGCAGGACGAAGAAAGAAACGATGAGGGTGTAAGCAAAACGGTTTAACCTAGCAATTTCTCTATTTGGTTAAGTATTTTCAATGTTTAAAACATGTTGATATACTTTTACAGGGAAATCAGGATGATCAATTGAGTCAAACAATAAGTTTATGGGGAAGAGACAATTTTTTGAAAATTAAAAATGTTTGAATGGTGATAGCTAAATACTCACGACATTTTCCTTCTATCCATGATAAATGGGGAAACTTCGTATTTCGATTATGTGAAATGTAAATTAAAATTAGTAATTTAAACTGTAATCAAATGTTTCTTGTCGGACTACACGTACATGGTTTCCGTCATTAAATGTACGCAACTTTTTGAGCAGATACCCTTTCAGGTGATACCAGAGGAAGTGATTCAATATTTTAGTACCAAAAGTGGACACACTTACACCAATCTGGCGCTAACTGAAATACAGACCTAAACCACATGAACTAAGCATAAAATTCTCCAGTGGAAAACGTGCGGTGAAAACATGAAGACTGTATAATGTTGCGCGTCCGTGCGGTTTTATTTTTAAGGACTTAGGGTTTTACTGGCGTTCACGCTGCATGTGACAAGATTATTAGAACTGCGTGCGACTTAGCTAGGAATAAATTAATTTAAGATAAATTAAGGGTGCGCAGGAGACAAACTGGCGCCACCAACGGAAAGTAGGTGAACTACTGAATAGTTTTTCCCGTTTTTCAGGCACAATAATAAAAAAAAAATATAATAATTATGCATTTCGTAATTAGGGGAAGTAAATCTATCGTCTCGTCAAGCGTTTTTTGGAAAAAATTGAAAAAAAAAATTTCTTGCCTTTGAACGTATTTTTAGCATATTTCAAAAGCGAAATTGCAAAATGTGTAACTATCTCCCGCAGCGGAATTTTATAAGGAACAGTTTAAAAAAAAAATCAGCCGGAAAGGTCGCTCCCTCACCTCATAAAATTACAATGGCGTTGTCGTTATGAAATCGAGAAGACTGATGCGCTTGCACAATGGCTTGAGTTCCAGGCTCTCCACCACAGCACACCACAGCGCTGGTGTCGTCTCTCCTGCTGCTGGTATGCCGATAATCTAAAAATGCCTTTCAGCATGGTTCAGTACCGTACTAAGAATATGAAGCGCCCGAGCTTGTATATTTTACTTTTGCATATGTATATATATTCAATATTATATTGTTAAGAAACGTCATGTATATGTTATGGTTGTCTATATTGCATTGCAATTAATTGATACAGAATAGTCTGTTACGATAATTTCAAAGAAGAAAATAATAAAAAACTGATATGATATTTATAATATGGTACGAAAATAATAAAGTACTAATTGTTACTTGTGGAATGTAATGATAGTATGCAATGTAAAAAATATTGTATAATAGAAAAGGTTAAACGTTTATGAACATTATTTTTGAATATACGTAATCACATAAAGAAAAAGCACACTAACAAAGGGAAGGCACGGATGTTGCAATCGCTTTTGCAACGACACCCTATGGGGGTCGTAGTACGCATGTAGTACTGCAAAATCATTTTGGCTTTTTTCAGAATGGGCGTTTGTTGTCGATGTACAATAAAAGCATCTAGCAAGGTTCGTTGAATACATTGGTAGGGTATTAGGTTGTAACGCTGCTGACCCGGGTACGAATCCCGATTGATGTTTTTTTTTCAACTTTCTATCAGAAATATACTTTTTGTATATTATGTACTATATATTGTATATTATATATTACCTTACGCATATTTTAAGGTTAAAATTAATTTTTAACGTAATATATCATGCCGGAATACCTACTTGCCGTAAGTGAGTAAGTCTTTACAACGATTTTTATGTTTTGTCGTAAGTTTATTTCGTTTTATCGTGACAGTCACATGAAGAAAGGTTTGAAAGTTTGAAAATGGATAGTGATTCTGTGCGTGCAAGTTGTTTTAAAGAAATAGTCATCGATAGCACAGAATCCAAGTGTAAAGAGGACAGAATGTGCGTACTGTTTTCTCTTTCTCTGGCGTGTGTATTCTGCGGAATACTACTGTTGGTTGTACATGTATACGTTCCATTCGTTCGATTTTACTAGTGTTAAAATGAGAAATCATGTTATCTTCTATCATTCTACAAAATATAACACCCGTGCTCGAGCGCTCATTTTATAGTTTGCCGCTACACCGAACCCCCTTTTTTTTTTGTTTTTACGGGTTCCTTCTCGTCACGCTCGAGAACGGTCAAGCCGAATACCATACCTGTTTCGAAATAAGCAACTCGCCGGTCCCGATCGAGTTACTTATTTCGAGACATTGCTGTTGTTTCTTCTTGTTTCTATTTGTATAATGAATTTCAATATATTTATCTCTATTCTACATAGATATGCTTGGTACGCATCATGCCTATCAAAAAATCGAGTACATTTCATTAACGTAAATCAAGCGGTATTCTCAGTAGAATTAAATAAACAATTTTGCAGTTGTGAATCTGAAGCATTCATTCGATGTACATGGTAATTAAAATTTTTGTTTCCACTGCTTTTTCGAAAATTATCACCCAAGTTCATGTACATCATATATTCAAAATGGAAATTGTTTGTTTTAAAAAATATATCCGAACATTAGTTATAAATAAGTCATATTTACCGAATGTATTTTTAAAAGAAAGTGAAAAAAAAGAATAGTGTAAGAATGTTTCAACGGGACTTGAACTCGCGACAGAGGAGGAATTATTATGTTGATGTTTTACTGACTATGCCGAATTCGCTATTGACAAAGTCGCTTATAATTCACCAAGTAAGCAGCAATAATAACTTCGATGTTGAATATCACTTAAATTATAAATCGTGTGCCCCCAAAACTGAATATCATTCGCTTCAGTTTTTCACTGTGCAAAGGCTCATCAAAAAATTAGTGTCATATCTGGGCCCGTTCCCTTGTCAGTCTCTCTTTTTCTTCATCAAACTGTCTCTTTCTACTTCGTCGACGCTTTCAAATTTTGGACGGATTCGAAGCTGATCGAAACATTTGGTTACACACACAACGTATGTAGGTATTGTCACGTCCCGGATTTCAGATTTGAAAATCTGTCGCCCATTTCGATCAAATGATGCTTGCCTTTTGTCCCACACCCCTCTTAAACGACTCGCGTCTGGACGGGATCCTGATCCGTATTGAGTTCACTCTCGCGATTACTATTTATTAGAATATTTTAAGTTTTCGGACTTACTACTTGTTGAGGTCGAGCACCTTTTGAATGTAGTGTTCCCACCGCGGGTCGTTTGGTGGAATGGTCCACTCAGCCTCACGTGCCCCGGGGATGGTTAGTGGGGTGAGCCTCCAAGGTATCGGTGCTGGGGTTGGTGCTGGTACTGATGCTGATGTTGGTGCTGAGACTGATGCTAGTGCTGTTGATGCTGCTGGTGTTTTTAAACGTTTGTTTCTCACAACTCGCGGCTTCACTACGCACCCGATCGGAAGTTTTTCCGTTTGTGCTGGTCGCACGTAGTTTTTTAGCAACCGACGAATCTGCTCGCGTCTGACCGACTGGTATTTTCGTACCTTTTCGATGTTTCTCATCTACTGAGAGGGAAAAATTGGAATTTATAGTAGTTTTAATCGGGGATGAACCTCCTGTCCCGTCAATCGTTATCGAGCGCGTGCAACCCTTTACGATCGCTGGTTTTGTGTCTATTCCTTTCAAAGCCGGTTTCGACGCCTCGACCCTGATCGGAATATCTGCTCTGCCTTGGATCGAAAGGAAGCCGCGTTAATCAAATCCGTGGCTACTGTTTGGGAAAACCGGCTTTGACGCCTCGATCAACCCTTACAGCAAGCACGAAAGTGACTTGGAACCTGAGTACGATGACGGAAAAGAAACCCACGGCCGAGCAATGTTTCTATCTTTAAGATTTCTAAATGACCGGCTTCGACGCCTCGATCATAAATCAAAAAGATAGTTGGTTTAACTATAATTCATTCCTTTTTCCCTCTTCGAACGCGTCGAATGATTAAGGGAAAAAAAAATAATTGCAACATGTGAATTTGTTAAATTACGTTACTGTTTATTAAGACCCTCGCACGGTCTTTTATTATAGCAATTACAATTAATTACAGTTTGAATAAAAAAAAGATTCACTACCTTAGCTTCGCAATAAAACTTGATGTCTGATTCGACTCGACAATGGCTATGATTTTGGATAACTCGCGACGACTATCTAGTACGACAATTATATACTTGAAATTTCGAACGGCAACTATATCGAGCCCCTGAATTGCGGGCGTACTTATACCCCTAATTCGGGACCTTTGGTCCAAAGGAAGGAGAAAAAATCATACCACGTGGTTTATTAAAAATTCATGGGTGGTTTAACATCTAGGAGAACCGTTGTATTCTCGTGCGTCGCGATAAAGCAACCGAATCCACGGTTCACGATAGTGAATAAGCCGCGATCGTACCGTGGTCGTATTAGGGGCACATAATGTAGCAAGAAGTAGATCGCTCGCTCCGCACCCGTAGCTGTTATCGCTTAGGTTCTCTCTTACTTGCTAAACGCTTCTCAGTCTAAGATATAGGGTGACGTTCGAATATACAAATACTACATCTGTCTTCAACTCATTATAAGGAAAATATATGTCCACGGTTTGGACGGTCGATATGCGAACGCCACAGTATAATAACCAGCCGAGGTGTCGATTCTAAGTTTACATGCGGCTCCAGCCGAGCGCGAACACAGAAAGAGACAGAGAGAGGAAAGCGAAAGAGAGAGGAGAGAGAGAGAGATCCAAGGCACGAAGATAGGAGCCAAAACATATCGGTGGGCGCGAGACAATACTAATGCAACAATAAAACTCTTTTATTTATTAATTTTTTTAAATCTAACTTTTTCTAATGTATTTGTAAGATTTTTATGATCACAATAAGACCAAACACGATATACATACAGCGAAACAGGAAAGTATTCGGCTATTTGTTTGTATTATATATTTCATATTACCTCTTATATCAAAATTTTTTTTTTTTATAAATTATACAAGATGTTCGGCAACCGAACAAAGTATAAAATAAGAATAAATAAAATACACAGCAGCTTGGGATCGAACTAGCGATATCTTATGTACGATACTACGATCAATGATACCAGCTGGGCCAGGTTTTTTTGCCCATGTACTGCCAGAATGACCGTTAACAGTCGTATCCAGGGTAACAGGTGCGGGGTACTATAGCTATTGTGGCTATGAGCGCGAAATCATGAATATATTTGTCCTTATTATTTATATATTGTCTTTATATATTGTCCTACATTTGTCCATAAATCATGAATATATTTGTAATTATGCAGGGGTAATTAAGATACACCTTTTTAGCCGTGCGTATACTTCATTGATGCTATCGCAATGATGATTTCGCTGCGCGTGCGCGAAAAAACCCAGCCGACTACGATACCTGCGAACCAAGTCGAAAAGCGTGTTTAGATGGTCGACACGGTAACAGAAAGGAAGACAACGACATCGCTGCGGGGAAAGCACGATATTGAGGCAACCATATTGGCATTATGAATCGTCTCAATCATAGCG